CTCGCAATCTCAAACTTAAACTCATCGCTCTTGTTATCCCATGCCTGTCCTAACACTTTATGGCATTTTGATTCACATCCTGTTACTCCAAGGGATAGTTTTGCATATGATTGATGATCCTCAACAATGTGTTTTATCTTACATTGGTCTGTCTCATGCACCTTAATTTTACTTTCCAATAGATTACTGTTAGTTGACCACTTTCTTAGCTTGAATCCCCCTTGTGCCATTCTACTCATAGTCTTATCATATAACTGAAATGCCTTATCTACCGTACTTTCCCCACTAACTAAATCGTCTACATAGAAACTTTCTAGCACCTTCTTCACAAACTCAGGATCGGTTTCAAGATACTTTAAGACATGATGCCTTAATGTTGCATGAGTAAGAATGGAGATGCATTCAATCCAAATACTACTCTACAAAACCTATAAACAACTGTTTCCCACTTATCACTCTCAATATCATTTACCCACAAAAACCTCAAACAGTCTCGATCTACCTCATCAACCTCCACATTCAAAAAAGCCTTTTCAATATCACCTACTAAAGCAATCCTGTTTTCTCTAAACCGTATCAGTATGCTATATAGTAATGGATTGAGGGATGGCCCAACATGCAAGCAGTCATTAAGTGATGTTCCTGACTTACATTCCTTAGATGAAGCATAAACAACCCGAACCTTTGTGGTCACTGCATCCTTGCGAATGACCGCCTGGTGTGGTAACCTGAAGTTCAGGCCCTAATTTGAAATAGGGCCTGACACAAAACCTGTCTAGACCGTGAGACGCCCACATGTTATTTTTAGACACACATGCAATATGATTGACAAGTGTTGTAGATTTCGTTACACAAAAAAATTATATTCTCATGAACATGTCCGCAGAGCATTTTGCTTTTTAATTAAACTTAAAAATTCAAGGTACTTTTATATAATTAAGAGTCAGTTTCTCTATTTAACTGAACAGGCGAACAGCAAACAAAGATTTAATTAGTCAGTTCTGTGCACGACTTGCTGGACGCGGATATACTCTATAAACGACTAACGGGCTAATAACAGCAACAATTAAAATCTCAATCATACCACGAAGAAGGCGATGTAGCTCAGAAAACAACGCCGGTAGGACCTGATATTAAAAATAAGACTTTTCCCGGCAAAGCAAGTTGGCAGAACATCTTGGCTGTCAACAACAAGCTTTCGAACAACCTCGTTCCCAGGCTCTTTGCTCTTGGGAAGCAAAGACCCTGGTCGGAGCTGGTCACGTGAACCCCCAGATTTTGGGGGTAAATTGAATTTGACCTCAGGGAGGGGTAGTAGAGGAGTCTGTTTGTTGCGTTTGGAAAATTGCAACTTTATGTGTTATAATTTCGGGTGATAAAAATGTAATTTGCAACAAGGGATTGTGAAAGGAACTGTTTTAAATTGTACCGATCATGACAAGACTTCCTGCTGTACTGAATGTCATCAATAATAAGTGTTGCGGTACATTTCAAGCGAGAAGCTGGATCATATTTCACTTGCAAGGAAAGCACTCCACACGCGCCTGGCTTGCGAAGTTTAGCACGTATCGCCGTAGAAACATACATATCTTCTACACAGAATGATCGATCAAACGGTATTAAACGGACGATATGGTTCTTTATAGTTGAAGTGTATCCTGTCCGATATTCAAAACAAAAGATTTATTTTATAACGGGATCCTTTGATTTCCCAAACATCGCCAACATGTGTATACTAAACAATAGTGCTATTTTGACTGTAAAAGCACAGGATTAAACCCGTTATGGACTGGCTATAAAATTAATTTCATTTACATTGCTGAAACTCAACGATCAAGAAAGATAATGTCGAAGTGTAGCTAGCTATCTGTTATCACACAAACGCCAAGACTCCTCCGTGTGTTTCCGTGCGTGCGGTACAACTTGAATATCTAGGACGATATATGCATCAGACACTGGTATTGTACTTTATATAAATTATTTCATATTTTGTGTATACAGTAATTTGCAACGTGTATAATATTAGACCTTTCATTGACATTGGCATTGTCCATTGAGGGCTTTATTGAAGAATAATCCAGCTTCTTTAGACTTGTATAATGGATTAATGCCGCTGTGAGTTATCAATATTATTTAAATCAACTTTAATCTTTATCGTATTCCGTAACCGACATTTTAGAAGTTTAGTCTGTTTTACCAAACAATACTGGAGGCAAACAACCTATCTATCAATGAAAACTTTAAAAGGTTTGTTACAGTAACTCATTAATATAAGCGAGACTTCGTGTGCATATACAGTTTATGAATTATGTATATCCTGATAAAACGTAGGACACTCAGGGGTGGATTCAGCGTTTTGGGTGACCGGTTTACTAGGTCCACACAATCGTTAGGGGGGTCCGGGGCATGCTCCTCCGGGAAATTTTTAAAATTTGGGCCTCTGAAACAGCATTTCCTGCGTTCTGGCGTCACTTTTTAAATGAATTTAATGATTAGAAAATATATCTTTTATGAGAATTTTGGACTAACACACAGCTCAAATGATGAATTGAACCTTTTCGGAAACCTGTTAGCTAGTGCTGAAAATATAGGATTGGCAACTGAATTGCTCACGCATCAATAGTTATTATAAGTACAAGTAGAGATGCTTTTAATATAAACATAGTTGTAATTTTAGATCTATACGCTTTCAAACCAACTTTAACAATGAACTAGAAACCAAACTGCAAGAGCGTGAATAAAGCCTCACAAATAATCACAATCATTTCCTGATTCTCTCTCGCCAACGCAATGATTCTGTCACACAAGATTATACGTACATTATCATATTTCGCGCTGTCATGAGTATACTGTAGTTACACGTATAAACATCGATACGCTTGTTGATGAATCGATATTTACTATACAGTAAGTAGAAATAGCTTACCGTTATAACTTTAGACTATATACTTCTAAACAAACCTTCAAAATGAACAAGAAATCCATGTAAATGCTTCTATCGCCAACGCAAAGATTCAGTCATGCAAAATTATAAACATATTTCGCGCGTCCTCGAGTTCTGTTAACTTTCATGCCCAGTTTTCTCTAAATACTGCTCGACTCACAGGTTTATGACCGGTTTACATCCGCCGGAGCACAGCCGTTTAGGCAATTGAATGGCGTATCGACCGGTTTACTCTCATGGAGAAAACTCTGACCACCGGTTTACTCATAATTGCGGGCGGTTATGTGTGATTCATGCGATGTTTACAAGTCCATGACCCACGACGATATATTAGCAGATTATTAGTCTAGTATTACAACATTTCGTAAGAGGAAACCAGGGCGATAAGTCCTTAATTATACGCTCGGTAATCCATAATCAAATTTCAACAACAGTGTTTATTAAGTGGCGTAATAGATTAGACAGCATCAATTTTATGAAACAGAATATTCTTTAAATTAGTTATATACATGGAAGGTTTTTTCTCTCTTTGGAAAATCTGACAGGTTTATATAAACCTGTCAAACCTGTCTGAATCCGCCCCTGGACACTTTATAGTTTATGATACCAGATGTAATAAAAAATACTTGGCTAAACCTTTTCTGTTGTCATTCCTTTGCATTTAAGGGGAGAGGGTAAATGGCGATAGAATTTATAGGAGATGCTGTGCAATATTTTGGGTTCAACAAACAGGTACTCGTGCAGACAAAAACGAAAATTCATGCAGTTGTGAATTGTCGTATGTCAGCTGTGCACTGTCCATTTCAAACAATTTTGTACGTTATATTTTGTCTAGCTTCCTGGTGTTTAATATAAACGATGATAACCTTTTAAAAAAAATCTAAAGCAATATCTCTATAAACAGTTTTAGAATCAATAGAATGGACATTCAATGTGTATTTGGCTTGTGTCCAAATGTGTCACATACTTTAAGACCGGCAAGGCACTAATCCTATGACCTATAAACAGTCGCTTTTGAGACATCTGTTTAACAAAATTTATACCGTGTCCATATTAGAACAATTCATTGGCATATTATAAGCATATTATAAAAATCAGAGCCAGAACAGAAATGCACCCGTGAAATGAAACTACGCCCGAACCGGCGAACCCCGAGAAAATAAAAATATTTCAAAGCATACAGTCATACGTTCTCGTTGCTTGATTTCCTGAATTTTCTGTTGCTATAAGAATCTGCATTTTAGCATGTTTGTATAATTTAAAAGCAAACAGAAACGAGTTTAGCAAGTAGTTTGAGGTATATAATGATTCTCGAAGATGAATTAGATGATTGTACAGAACGGCCACTCCTTGCAATCGAAATGCGAAGTGCGGAAGTGGAAACATGTAATATGAGACTTTTCCATCCCCCTCTTGGGCTATCAATTTTCTATGGGTCACGTGACCAGCTCCGACCAGGGTCTTTGCTTCCCAAGAGCAAAGAGCCTGGGAACGAGGTTGGGTGAAATTAAGATGGCTCCCTACAATTTTTGAAATATGACAAAATCGTGATTTAGATCTAATTTTTTGAAAAGAGGTTTCTTGTTCGAGGACAAAAATTGTACCACATATATTGAACAATCTTCTAAGAGTTGAAAATTGTTCACAATAATGAGGTCATGACCGTTGCTATGGTAACAATGACGTTTCAATATGGCCGACATTTTACCTTTTAACACATTTTACTCGAAAAAAAGGTCGATTACCACCATTTTTTATTTCATGAAACGTTTTCATGTAGTTCTCTACTGTATTTATTTTGTAGTTTTTGTAATGATTCATCTGCAATTTCCACTTAGCAGAAATTTAGTGACAGATCCACGTTTAATACCCTATTATATAATAGGCAATGAAAAGGGTAGGGAATTGAATTTCCTGCTCCTTACTTTGGAACGCATGCGCTCTTAAAATTTTTTATTCCTTAGCCTTCTATATTTTTATCGGATTTGAAAGAACTAGAAAGAATTGCAAATGAACAATCACAAATCGTATTCATCAAATTTATTTCCAATTTATTTCACAAATCGTATTCATCAAATAGCGATGTGAGTAAAGCTGTCTCACCTGCAGCATTTTCGCTTGGGTTTCGCGTCAAAACTGAGGGAGAAATGTAACTATTCATGAACAAGTCATGGAATTTGTGCTATTTCTATTGCTAATTACACCGGAAAACTGTTGATTGTGAAACTTCGACGTTTCGAGCGGAGGCCCTTCGTCGGGAGATCAGTAACATGGATTCGGAAAATACATGTGCTTTTATACTGGTGAACATAAAAGCGATCAAGTGAAAAAAATAAACCAATCAGATGGCTTTAGTCAAAACAAAGTGTAAACAAAAAATGTACAAAATATATTGTTAAACAATTCTGTTAAGAAACGTGATTTACATTTTTTGCGATCTGCTAGTTATTACTGGTCATCCTAAAACCACCGATAATTAATGTGGTAAAAAAGTCATCCACGAAAGGGAACAGTTTTATGCAGTCAAAGTATTCAGGGAAACGTTTAGTATAGAGTATTATAATTGATTTCACAAATGAGAAAAACTAACTTTGCCATAAAACAAAGATATGTTAACAAAAAGTGCATTTGAAATATACAACATAATTAGACATACATGATGGAGTTCCAAAACCAAAATCGTACCGCCACTGTGTATGAATTAGTTTAAGACGAGGAAATGTGTGGGGGTCATCCTCAGATTCTGGAAGTACCTCTTCAACTGATGGATCAACGCCCTCCTCAAACGAAACTTTCCAGTAGCCTGCATGCTCGTCCTTATTGTTACTGACTATCTTCATTAGTCGTAACTGCATTGGCGTGAAGGTCTTTCCTGGTTCAGTTTCCTCTATATTAAAAAATATTTTTATAATAAGAATATGGATTACAAAGAGTTTTGAAAGAAATGTCAAGCAGGTGAAAACTACGAAGTAGTGACTATGAGTTCGAATTAAAAGCCAGTGAAGTTTCAAATTAAATAAAGAAAAGTGAGTTTTTTAGTAACGTACAACTTCACGACAGTTCATCTATAATAGATGATGCAGACTTTCACACATGGCGACGATTCTGCAAAGAAGTATAATTCACCGATTCACTTTCTTGTTTACGACGAGGTTTGTTTCAACGATATGAATGAAATAAATAAGCGAAATCACCGCGATGACAACCTCGTTCCCAGGCTCTTCTCTCTTGCGGAGAAAAGACCCTGGCCGGGGCAGGTCACGTGACCCATCGAAAATTGATAGCCTTAAGCCTGTTTTCCACTTCGCCCGTATCGTACCGTAACGTATCGGTGAGTATGCGCAGATTGAAAGAGGTTTATAAATTCACGTACTTCCGGGTGTATTCGCGTATCAAAATAAAAAGTTTGTCACAAGTCAACTTTTTGGCGTACTACGGAAGTACTAACCAATCAACATTCACGAAATTTTGAAATTTAAAAACGTTTTCGCTACGTTACGGTACAGTACGGGCGAAGTGGAAAACAGGCTTTAAAGGGAGATAGAAAAGTCTCAAATTACATGTTTCCACTTCCGCACTTCACACTTCGAATGCAAGGAATGACTGCTTCAAAATACTTACTAAATTTGGTTTCTGCTTGCTTTTAAATTATAGAAACATGTTAAACTGATTCTTATAGCAACAGACATGTCAGACAAGTCAGGAAATCAAGCAACGAAAACGTATGATTGTATGCTTTGAAATATTTGCCTCTTTATATTATCTTGGGGTTCGGGCGCACTTTATTTCACGCGTACGTTTCTGCTCTGCCTGTTATAATATGTCATTGAATTGTTGTCAATGGAAACGGTATAAATTTTGTTAAACAGGGGTCTGAAAAGCGACTGTGTAAGTGTAGTGCCTTGCTGATCTTACAGCAAATGTTACACATTTGGACACTAGCCAAATAGACATTGAATGTCCATTCTATTGATTCTAAAACTGTTTATAGATATAGGGCAACTTGTTTGTTGAAGCCAAAGTATTAATTGGTATTATTGCACAGCATCTCCTATATAATTCTTTCGCCATTCACCCTCCCCTTTGAATGCAAAGCAATTTTTACCTCAAAAACCACAACAGTCTGTTTTATCCGTATAGGAATCATCAGGTGGTGAGTACTTTCGAAATTGTAGGTTGCTTTTATGCTATCGAAAAAATCTGCGGAATGCGTGTAGGCGAAACAATGCATAGGCGAAACAATGCATGCCTGGGTCATTAGGTTTTGTTAACGACCTTGTTTACTCGAAACCGGTTTTTGTGACGACATTTGCCGAAAATTTCGGTTCTTTTATTGAGTAAATTGTCTTTGTTTATGTCTTTCAACATGCAAAATGTTTCTTCCAAACATAAATTACAGCGTTTTGACCCCCCTGTGTACGAAATAGCGTGTTTTAAAATTGACCATTTGATGGTATAATCCTGATTGTTTTCTTTTAATTTCCAAATATGTTTCAAAAGTTCCGTCTTGTTTGAGTCTTTTTTATGACGAAAAGATGAAGTGTGGTTAGCGTAACGTTCCTTAAATGTAGTCGCTGTCATACCAATGTAGTGTTTAGTGTCGTTCGTGTTGTTCGTTGTGACTGTGGCTTTGTAAATAATGTTGTTGGCCATACATTGTTTCGGTAGTGGGCAAGTGTTTTTGTTGTCGCAGTTACAGATGTCAGTTTCCGTATTCTGTGATTGACTGTTCCCAATTATATGTGCGTTGTGTTTGGTGATTATAGACTTAAGGTTGTTCATGCAACTGTAGCTTAATTTTAAAGTGTTTCTGTTGAAAATCTTGTGTAGTTTTTGCTGTGGTGGGAAGTGTTTGTCAATTAAACTTAAGAATTCCCGTCCTATGTTCGTGTTAACACTCTTACTAAATGGTGGGTTGAATCAAATTATGTTGCCTTGCCTATTCCTACGTGTCCGGTCCGGTGCATCCTGAGTGTACGTAAATTCGTGATCAAAGTTACTATGTCTAAGAGCGTTCTGGTAAATAGGTGTAGATTCCTTAAATGTTTGTTCGTCCGATGAGAGAAGTGCAATGCGTTTGTTGATAGCTGCAGGTAATTGTCTTGTAATGCTTGGTGGTAGTTTGAGTGTCTGTTGATGTACAATGGATCGTCACTAGGTTTCCTGTATGGTTTGTGTTTTGCGTTGATCAGGTCGAAAGTAACATCTAAAAAGTTTACAACGTTCAAATTTACTTCGGCGGTGATTTTCAGGTCAAATTGCTCGAAAATTTGTGTAGCTCTTTTCTAGTTTTGTCTAGTAAACGGGTGGATATGCTTTTTATAATAGCCAAACCATCATCTCTATAAGGGCCGATGTTTTCCTTGCCAAACCTCTATGACCAATAACATTATTTACAAAGCCACAGTCACAACGAACAACACGAACGACACTAAACACTACATTGGTATGACAGCGACTACATTTAAGGAACGTTACGCTAACCACACTTCATCTTTTCGTCATAAAAAAGACTCAAACAAAACGGAACTTTCGAAAGATATTTGGAAATTAAAAGAAAACAATCAGGATTATACCATCAAATGGTCAATTTTAAAACACGCTATTTCGTACACATTGGGATCAAAACGCTGCAATTTATGTTTGGAAGAAAAATTTTGCATTTTGACTAAAGACATAAACAAAGACAATTTACTCAATAAAAGAAGCGAACTTTTCGGCAAATGTCGTCACAAAAACCGGTTTCGAGTAAACAAGGTCGTTAACAAAATCTAATGACCCAAGCATGCATTGTTTCGCCTACACGCATTCCGCACATTCTTTCGATAGCATAAAAGCAACCTACAATTTCGAAATTACTCACAACCTGATGATTCCTATACGGATGAAACAGACTGTTGTGGTTTTTTGAGGTAAAACGAAAAACTATATTAGCCTACGCTCTATCTATATGGTATTGAGCACTGTTTGTGTTTCGTAAACCAAAATCTTAAGCTACTGTATATATATATATATATATATATATATATATATATATATATATATATATATATATATATATATATATATATATATATATATATATATATAAATAAATATACTTAATGAGTTTTAATAAGCCTTTTAAAGTTTCCATTGATACATAGATAGGTTGTTTCCGTCCATTATCGTTTGGTGAAACTTCTAAAGTGTCATTACGGTATACGATAAAGATTAAAGTTGATTTAAATATTGATGACTCACAGCGCTATTATACAAGTAGAAGCTGTATTATTCTTCAAATAAAGCCCTGAATAGGCAATGGCAATGCCAATGAAAGGTCTTTATAAAATTTATAATGTACCTGCTGTAAATTACTGTAATACATAAAATATGAAATAATTTACTATAAAGTACAGTGCCTGGTGCGTATAATGTCGTTCTAAATATTCAAGTTGTAGCGAACGCACGGAAGTGTACAGATGAGTCTTGGTGTTCGTGTGATAACAGATAGGTTTAATTCGATCGAGTCTTCGACATAATCATTCTTGATCGTTCAGTTTCAGCAATATAAAAGAAAATAGTTTTGCAGTCCGTAACGGGTTTTAATCCTGTGCTTTCACAGTCAAGATAGCACTAATGTTTACACACATATAGTTGGCCATGTTTGGGAAATCAAAGGATCCCATTATAAAATAAATCCTCCACTAGACTTGCTTCAAGTCTCTCTTTCGTTGTCATTTAGTATCGATCCACTATAGTGTACATTACATGACGTAATACGGAGGGACGGAGCGAGTACGAGAAACTTGTCAACTTCGGAATAGCCTGCGTAACAGGCGGCAAAAGCTAGAAATACCGCCTGCCCAAAAACTACACATTCTGAGTTCCGCCCACCGAACGCATGGTCCCGCCCATCTTAATGTATTTATTTTAATTATTTGTCAAACTTTTGTCAAACTCACGTATTTGCACCAGTGCAAATATACGGCTTCGACGTATTCGGTTCATTCAATGCTATGAAGACAAAAATACCACGTTCGATTCAGTGTAACAATATGTCCTCATTCATAGCGGTAGTTTTAGTCGATGTCAACATTATAGCGATTCAAGCAAGTTCGTGAATTATCAAATTACGCAATTGTCTGAACAAAAATATAGCCATACCTTTCGTCCAACATAACTTCGGCCCCTTCGGACGTAACTTTGTAATAGTCTTGTTCCATCGCTATCAAAAACACTACTTCGAGTGTCATTTACGAGCCTGTATCTTCAAATCTGCACTTTTATCACGGTATCACACTATCACACCTATCAAACAACAAATGTTGGATTGATATTCGTTGTTCATTCTTCAAGACGAAGCGATTTCCGATTCCAGATAAAGATTAAATAATTCAACGCTTAATTCTCAATTAATACATTCGTTATTTTTTGGTTAGTGTATGCCATCACTCGATATATCGGTATCAATTACGAAAATAACAATAGCTTATATTATAAATACGGCAACAGTAACTTCTAATATTAGCACTAATTATTCTAATTCTTTACTCCTGTCAATCAAAAATTGAAAATCAACATCGTGACCAATCAGAATGCTCCGGCACCCGGGGAGAACTCAGACTGTGTAGTTTTTGGGCAGGCGGTATTTCTAGCTTCCCATTCTCTCGTGCCCGCGAATACCGCTTGCTACGCAGGCTAACTTCGGAAAATCTCGGTTCAAAACTGAACCGAAAATGCAAGACTTGCTTTAATTGTTTTCTGTCAGTGTTTATATGTATTGATGTAGCACAGTGTAAATAACATGAGTTCCATTATAGTAAATAATACAGAAAGAAATTGAAGGAAAACAATTAAAGCAAGTCTTGCAATTTCGGTTCAGTTCTCAACTCTCTTTCTCCCTCCGCCTTTCCGTGCTACGTCATGTAATGTACACTATAGTGGATCGATACTATATGACAATGAAAGAGAGACTTGGAGCAAGTGTATTGCTCCACAAGAGGGAAGAGCCATCTGACAAGCATGCATGTTTACAAAAACGTCGTTTACTTAAGCTCGTTAATATTCTCCATCGTAACGTCTCCCATTCTCTTATGAGGGGAGTCTGCCCATTCATGATCGGTTCAGCAGAATATTTTACTCTGAAGCTACTTAATTCGGCGAGCTTTTTCTACCCGCAATTTAGTTGTTCTTTTACGCATCTAATCTTGTAGTTTTGAGAAGTTGAAATCGATAGTATTTCCAGGCATCCGAATATCTCACTATTATCTTAATGTAATAGAAAGTATAGAGCTCGTATTTTGACTAAAAAAACAAAATCATTCTAAATAAGTAATTCAAAAATTTCGATTTAATCTTAATTAAATTCAGACTAATCAACACTCTGCAAAAAGCAGACTGGTTTTAAAATAACCAATTTGAATTGGTTGTCTAAGATGTCTAAGATGCGTTTTCTTTTGACCTATATTATTTGGTGAAAACAACCCGAAAAATTGGTTAAAATAACCCAACTTCCGATCCTAGTTGTTTTAACCAATAAAATATTGGTCATATAAGCGCACCTGAGACAAGCAATTAAAATCGGTTATTTTAACCAATCTGTTTTTACAATGCAGAATGTTACATTACATCGTAAATGTTTGCCTATAGTTATCACCTTCATCAACGTTAGAAACAAGAGCTTTTCCAAAATGACACCACAAATCAGCCATCAATTTTTTCCCCTTCTTTTTTGCGTTCAGTTCTTCTAATGACTTTGATAGATGGTTCTTAATTTCTGAGATTGTTTCGACACTAAATTCGTTCTGAAAAAAGGACATGAAGTTATCTGTGGTCAAATCGCTGCTCGGCAGTCCTATTTGATAAAGAAACACCAAATCGTTACGTTCTTCGGATCGGGCCCTGTACCCTGTATGCATATTTGAATTACAAGTATATTTTAAAACAAGTTTTGTAATAAATGCCTTCCATATCAGTTTTCAAACTTTTTTCGTCCAGCTAAATCCAGCTTTAATTCTAACGAACCGTATCATCACTAATCAAGTTTTCAGTACACAAAATCATAATATTAGTCTTTAAATCACAGTCAAAATACAAAATTTCGGCGTATTCCTTGCCAAGATGGTGGGAATTGAAAGAGCTATTGGATTTCATTCCAGCCCCTTTCTATTGTTTTTGTCAGCGCGGTTAATACAAAGCTGGCTTCACTTTTTGGACTCCAGTTCTCGCTCCGGACATACATGCATGGAGCTCATCCACTGATGTGCTGCTGTTTTTGTCGTCTTTGGAAGCTGTTCAAGTAAATGAACATTCAATTTCTTTTCAGAACTGTTGCACGGTTCTTCAAAGGTTTGACAGCCCTGAAATTCCGCTCAGTACGAATAAAGGAAGTGGCGATTTTATGTGTTATATTCTTGGTATTTTAGCAACAAGAAAAGAAATCGGATCCCGAACTATGTTCTGTTATACTGTATATCAAGGAGTTTTGTGGTTTTATGTTTAGTCGATAATTCGTTGTTGAACGTTCGGATATATATGACAGCTGGTGGTTTACATGCATCTTAGAAAATTCAAAGAACACACTCTTTGGCTTGTTGTTGGAGAGAAGTATTTGCAAGCAATTCTTACGGAGTTCTTTTGATTCCACAATTTTATCATATGGAAAACAATAAAAAGGAAAGCTCGACATTGATTTTGTTGTTGATAAAACAACCTGCAGGAACACAACACGGAAAACCGCGCTACTTAACATCTTTTACTCCTCCAAATGGTCGACGAAAGCAGACATTTGCCGTTAAATTCAGGGCTGTCAAATCGACAAAAAATAGCGGCTGCACTCGTATTCGACAGTAGCCATGTTGGATTGTTTTGAAGTTTCCTGCTACAACTAATAGACCAGAATTCCCCCCACACTTCACGTCTTGTGACGTCATTATGTATAATGTCTATTGATAGTTATGTCACTTTAAAACTACATGCGACGTATCATACGCTTATATTAATTCCTTTAGTATAATATTTAGTTTTACATTGATTAATTTACACTGTACCTGAGATTCATCGTCAGTCTCAGTTTCAATTCTATATCTTTGTCCTTGAATGAAGCCATCTAATATAGGAGAATTTCCATCTAGTTTTAACTGAAACTTTTCATTTTCATCTTTGACGTCGATGCAAACAAATTGTGCATCGCCTCCTAGTTCCCTTCTAATCATTTTGCCCTTATAGGAAATCTGGAATTGTAAATTTAAATTTATTTTTAGTTTCAGTGTTCTAAGATGTTAATATGAATCGGTTAGAAATAGAATAAAAACTTACGATGCGTTGTTTAATAAGCCATTCTGCTCGGACGCGATTTTTTGGTGGTCCAATTATTTCCAATTTGATTGTATCTCCACCTTGAGCTTTAGTTGAAGAAACACATTCGTTATGGTATGAATGGTATGTAATAATAAGATAAGGTAACTATGTGAGGTAAATAGACGAACTGCCAACACTCAGTAAGATAGTTGCTCTCTGATGGCATTTTCTTTTACAAACGCCAAGTGGCATTTTCGTGTAGTTTAAACATTGGTGAAGAAGACTATACATGCACGTCGGCACTTGTAATTTTGGATTTTCAAGATTGTTATTACGATATATCTTGATGTGTCAAGAAATCCTGGTCCTATAGTCTACCCTACAAAGGCTAAGGGAGAGCAGCTAAAGTATTAAAATTGCACACCCGATGCTCACTCAATGAAAAACAGGGCGCATAATATCCTTGCAAAGACTTAGTGAACAAACAAAAACTCGATCTCTTCACCGTATCGAGAAACTTGGCTTGACGAATCAGTCACTGATGTCGAAGTCGAATTTCCTGGGTTTACGTTATATAGATAAGATCGGAATAACACAGGATCGAAGGTGGCGTATGTGCTTATATATACAACGGTTTTAAAGTGCATATGACATGAAACTTTTTATTTTCTTAAATAAAAGTTGTAGTGTAACTTATTTTCAGTTTCTTGTTTTTATAGTTTGTTCCTGAGATATTTCAATTTGTTTGATATGTAAATGAGTGTGAATATGTCCGCTAATCTATGACGTCACGTTGGTTGCAAACTCAACTTAATAGAATAGAATAGAAACTTTATTTCACGAGGGAAAACGTATTAACCGTAAAAGTTATCTAACATACGGCCCTCGCACTATTTTGATATTTACAGGCATAAAAAGTATTAAAGATTACGACTATTTACATTGGAGGAAAAAAAATTAGTAATGAATACAATTACAATTTAGTATTTACAATTTATACAAAATAAATCTTCGATATGGTTAGTAAGGTTAAGCTTGTTAAGAAAGATTTTACGAATTTTTTGTTTGGCGTTAGTATATGAAGAGCAAGATAGTGAAGCAGCAAGTTGCTTACAATCGCTATCTAAGCAAAAAGAATGGAAGCACTGTACAAAAATGTTCGTACGTTTACCAGAG